TGAATTTAAGATGACCCCCCATAATTAGATTCTATACACCAAAATAATAACAGTGTTATATATTTTACGTGTATAGATTCTATGGGGGGGAATCTTAAATTCTGAGTCATTTTGGGTTTGTGTAAGTATGGTAGGATTCTTGCCAGTTTGCACTAGAAAATGTTGTACACTTTTTCCAGAATTGTGGCAGCTATGGTCACCGTGTCATAAATTAACTTCACTTCCTAGTAAAAAGGGAGCAGACATTTGGCGCACAGCTTTGAACCTTGGTAAGTCATCCTACTTCCGCCTCAGAAAGTCAAGAGACACAATATACTGGTGGGAGTTATGGTTATAGCACCTCCTGCAGGCAGCTGGCTTGGGGAGATGGTGGTCCCTCCGTTCCTCCAGTACCGGTGCTCTGACTGTAAAGACCATCCCTAGATGGCAAGAAGAGCGAGAAGAATGGTTTCCACTTCAGCAGGACTTTCAAAACATTCTGGTTGGTGGAACCATGCTCTGGGAATGGGAATTTAGTCTGGCAAATACTGGGTCTGGGTGGTTCAGATTAATTACTCCTACAATGTGTTTTGATGGAAGTAGAGTTCCCGCAACTGGGCTGTAGGAGCAGTCCAATTTTTCAGCTAACATCTGCTCTCTCCTTCCCCTTATGAACCCGCCACCTGCTTCTTTCTGCCTCTCGACATCGCTGCTGTGTTGGCCAAAGAAAGTCTCTTCCTGTTACAAACACCATCGATTAAACAGAATCTTTCATTCTCGTAGCTAAAGCTTGCAGCTAGAAGCTCTCCGTTAAAATAAATTGCTTTCATAAGTGGTGCAGAGCTAGTCTGTATTATAGAAATGCATGCATGGGTGGATCTTGGAAGGCAGTCGCCCATACTCAGAGCCCATCCTGAGTGAAATCCACTTCAACCAGTTGCATCATGTTCAGCCAGTTGAGCCAGTGCCAGCTCACTGACTTCTGTGGGCTGCTGTAACAGGGGAAAGAATTTGCTCTTTTAGAAACCCAAATGACCTCATGCTGCATCATCAAAGCATGATGGATCGCAGGTTTATAAGGTGTTCACGAGAAGCTCATGAGAACTGCAGACACTTTGCTGAATGCTCAAAGTCGTGCTCTCTTTTATTCTTTGTTTCTTCTTGTAAGATCTGTAGTCATTCTTTTGGCACCGGGAGCTTCGAAACCGCTGGCTTGTCTCAACCCAGCCGAACGGCTGTGTCAGTTATTGCGTGGCTTTCAGCCTATGTTTTGCATCAGCTCTTTAGCTAGCTCATTTGAAAAGACACATCTCTAGTGACTGTGTTACTTCAGAAAGCATGACCAACTGCTTCCTATTGACTTGTCTCTTTTGTAGTGGCAGGCACATCCAAAAAAATGTGCTGTTTTGTGTCTCATGCAGCAAAGATCAAGTCTGTCATTTTTCTTAATGTAACAACATACATTCAGCAAAAACCAGTTTCCTTTCAGATCAGGCCATTCTCTAGAACATGTTTAATAACTACTAGACTAAGTGCAAGATGTGTAACAGCTGTCCTTGGTAAATCTCCTGTTGGGCCTTTCTCCAGCGGCTTGTAGAACATGCTTTTCAGAAGGCAATGCATATCTAAACAAAGCTGGGCATTTAAGAGATAATTGTAAACCATGATAGCTCCATGCCTGGGAGGCAGAGAGGTGTGGAGATAAACATAAATAGCTTTGGTTATTGGCAGTGACTTATGATAAGAGACTGATATTTCTCATATGCTGGCTTGCTAAACAAATGAACAACTTGATAGATAAATGTTCTGTGATGGTACTACACGGGTAACGATTGCCCAAAGTGGAAACAGATACAGAGGTATGGATGTCATGTATGTTTTAAGGGAGACGTGTGTGCACACGAACTCATGGACAGATTGCTAAACTGATGTCAATTCGGAGTAATGCCCTCAAAGCCAACATGTTTAGATCGATGTAAGTCAGGTCAGGATCCAGCCCCCAAAATATTTAAGGGCAGCTTCAAGAAGGAGCACTTGATGACCTCCTCACCCAGAACACCAAAATCTTTAGCCTTACCAGTGGGGCAAGCTTGCCAACTGGCTGATTTATCCCTGGGTTGTTCTTGCCCCAGTCAAAACACAGGGGCCAGTTGTCTTCTGAGTTATAGGATAGTTGGATCCTACCTAGGCTGCTGCAGTAGACCCAGAAATCATCAGCTTTTGACTATGGTCTGCTCATGAAATGCCCACATGTATACATGGCCAAAGGGGAATCCCTGTTGTCAAGGTGCATAATATTTCAGCAGTATTAGTCTGGCTGAATGGCACTACCATTGGAAAACTCATTATTCAGACTCCTACCCGGCAGCTACCCACGCATGCTGTTCGCTACTAGAAAATTGTGTCTCCCAACTCCCACAAAGCCGTCTGCTTTCAACATCCTGGGCCAAAGTCTGCACTGGTTTATACCCTATGCAAACCTTCGTTGTTGCCCTTTTATTCTCCGATAAAATGCTGCAAAGGAACTGGCATTTATATGACACAAAAAAAAATACAGGATAGGTCAGATCCTGCTATAAATTCATGTTGTGTCATGTGACTGGCCTAGAGTCACATTTATTTATACAGTTGACGATCTGCCCTGTTAAAATTAGCACCCTGAAATGTGTGCTGATGGTTTTGTATTCTCCAGCTCGCCTGGCTATATGCATTAGTGAGAAAAAAATATATTTTTACCTGGGTCCACATAGATAAGGAGAGAGCCTGAATGATTTCATATTCTGCATTTTCGGTGGATAAGCATCTTTGCTACTGAAACACTCCCTTAGGGAACTAATTATGGAATGGCACAATGAAACTTAATACAAAATATTACGATTTCTTTCTTTTTTCATTGAGTCAGAGTTTCCACAGTAAATACTCAGGGATTCAGAGTTTTAATAAATATTTGATATTTAATCTTATTCAACCATTACATTTCTCGATTACCATGTTTTTATTAGCCATGCTTCTGCCTAAAGTAGATTTTTCTCGCTGAAAATTCTCATTTCATAAACATAATTAGATGACGAGGCATTTGGCTACCTTAAGAGAGTC